ATTTATTTTTATTTATTTTTATTTATTTTTATTTATTTTTATTTATTTTTATTTATTTTTATTTATTTTTATTTATTTTTATTTATTTTTATTTATTTTTATTTATTTTTATTTATTTTTATTTTTATTTAGTTTTATTTATTTTTATTTATTTTTATTTATTTTTATTTATTTTTATTTATTTTTATTTATTTTTATTTATTTTTATTTATTTTTATTTATTTTTATTTATTTTTATTTATTTTTATTTATTTTTATTTATTTTTATTTATTTTTATTTATTTTTATTTATTTTTATTTATTTTTATTTATTTTTATTTATTTTTATTTATTTTTATTTATTTTTATTTATTTTTATTTATTTTTATTTATTTTTATTTATTTTTATTTATTTTTATTTATTTTTATTTATTTTTATTTATTTTTATTTATTTTTATTTATTTTTATTTATTTTTATTTATTTTTATTTATTTTTATTTATTTTTATTTATTTTTATTTATTTTTATTTATTTTTATTTATTTTTATTTATTTTTATTTATTTTTATTTATTTTTATTTATTTTTATTTATTTTTATTTAATTTTATTTAATATTAATTATTTCTATTTATTTTTATGATATTTCCATTTCCCCCCTCCTTTAAAAAACTATTTTAATTCACCAAACTAAATTATTAAAATTGACGCTTTTTAAATCCAAAGCAACTATGATTTCGCGACTTTTAAATTGAAATTGCGCAAATTATTTTTTTATTTTATATGTCATTTGTAATACATGATATTGGAAATCTGTGAGTGATATTTGTAATATATGAACAGAGTAGAATATTTTATGAAATGTCAGCAATGTCAAACATTCATATTTTTTTTAAATTTTAATAATTTAAAAAAATCATTTTAAGTTGAAATAAATTGTTAATCTAAACCATTCTCGAGTCATCTTAATCGCATAGACGAAATTTCAGAAGAATCAGTGCAGCCGTTTTGGAGGAGTTTGATGACATACACACGCACATTGGAATTATATATATAAAAAATAAATGAAAATAATAAATGAATACGATAATAAGTTTTACCTACGACCACTTAGGAAAGTGACACATATCACACTATAAAGTCCTATGGAAAGTGCCCTATATCACACGCGTATGAATAATAATTTACTTTCCACCCAAGTGAGAATATGTTACTTTCCGCAGTAGTTGTTACAAAATGTCAAACACCTAATTTCTATTTTGATCTATGTTATGTCCATATTAATACTAAAATCGATATGATTGTTAAATTATTGAAATTGTTGTAAATTAGATCCTAGATATTTATCTTAAACAATTATTATTGTTGAGAATTCAAGAGTAATTCTCAACGGTAGTTAAATTCAAATTTACCGCGCCAAATTTTCAATGCCCGATGAATATGCGCCAACTCGCTTCCCTTTAAAAATGCGAAAAATAACGGTCAAGCATTATCTGCTCATGGCGACACAGGACAGGTGTGTCCCGAACGGCGTCAGTTATAAAGCAGTTAAAAAGTTATACTAATCACGGGTGTTTGTTAGTGTGAAGATACCCTTTTATATTGGCGATACCCTATATCCCAATAAACCCAAAGTACCCTACTCTGTTTAAAACACTTTTAATTCCGTCGTGACGAGAAGCCGGTAACATATCAGAATTGCATCTCATATATCAGTGAAAGTACTATTATAAAAAGTGTGAAGTGTAGTGTTCAAGGATTACATGTAAGCTTGGTACTGATATAATAAAAAGTCTGGAAGTACCCTAAAACTTTTTTTTCCTGGGCTCGTCTGACTATGTGTCTCCGAATAACACTGAAGCCGATTGGCTTATTGTGTTTTACCCCATGTTAGTTCATAGCACCCACTCTATCACCTTTGTACCTTGTACAAATTTGTACAGATCCTTGGGTGAGTGGGTTCTATACGTTGTTGGATCAACCTGGGGTTGTCCAAAAAGAGCCTGTCTTTTGCGATCTAGAGCTTCGCATTCGCACAGTATGTGTTTGGCCGTTTCTGGTTTCTTGTGACATAGTCGGCACATGAGTTCCCCATTGTACATGCCAATTTTGTTCAAGTGTCCCTTTACTGGGGCGTGCCCAGTCATGAACCCTGTTATCACTTTCAACTGGTTCCTATTTATTAAGAGTAGTTCTCCAGTTCTTTTGGGACATGGTCTGCCTATGGAGGCTTTTCCATGTGCCTGTTTTGGGGTGCTTCCCCAATAGTTGATATGTTGTTCCCGAATCCAGTCATTTATAAAACCCCGGACTGTACTTTTTGGTACTCCTGGGTTTGTGTCTGGTTCCGGTGTTTCTTCTGGCCCTCTTTTTGCAAGTTCGTCAGCCTTTTCGTTGCCTTCGATCCCTTTGTGACCTGGCACCCAAAATAGTTTTACTCTATTTCGGTCTGCCAGTGTTCTTAGTTCTTCGATGCATTTCCATACCAGCCTCGACGTAACTTTCTGACTCGATATGGCCTTAAGTGCCGCTTGGCTGTCTGACATTATTTGAATATGCTGATTTTCGACAGCTCTTTCATTGTTCGTTTTTGCACATTGCAAAATTGCGTATACCTCGGCCTGAAATACCGAGGAATGTATTTCTATAGCATAGCTATGGTTAGTATCAGGGTTTTTGGAGAATACTCCTGCCCCAGTGCCTTCCGCAGTCTTAGACCCGTCTGTATACCAGGTTTGTTCCTGTCGTTGGGCATTGGGCTCCCTTATGGTGATCTCCGCTCTTTCCTGTATTAAAACCTCAAAGGGAGTATTGAAAGAGTACCTCTTGGTTATGCTGTCTGATCTCATGTCTAGCACGTCTCCTGTCACTAACCTTGAGATACTCATGTGACCTGGCCTAATGTTAAGATTTCCCAGTGTATTCCCTAATCTGTAAGCACCTAATCTTGCCTCCCCTTGTATCACATAGTGAAGAGGTGGGAGTCCTATTAGTGCTTCCATTGCAGCAGTGGGGGTTGTTTTCATTTCCCCCGTTATTCCGAGGCAGGCAAGTCTTTGTACCTTGCTTAGCCTCGTTATTGCTTTCCTTTGCTGTGTCTTTGGACCCTAAAACTTTCAAATATGCCCTTTATTTTCCCTGCGAATTATACCACCATTTTATTAGCTAAGTCAATTAAGCATTGTTGCCAGATTGTGAGCTGAGTCACTTGGCTCTTATGTAAATATTATCAACTGTTTTTTCCAATACTGAATATAGTAGTTATTTATAAACAGTAATATTTTATTCATATCCCCCTTTTTTCCCACCTTTCAGTAACCTTATTTTAAAAAAGTAGTTTAAAATCGAAGCATCATGTGCAGCCACGAGTTGTTGTCCACCGCTTAATACAGTCCACTTAAACTACGCATTTTAGGCCGTGTCCTGCACAATTATTAAAATAATTTTAAAATAACTAAGATTATGTTTGCTTTTTATTCTGGTTAAACATATAACCGATTAGATCACTCAATTGACGAAAGGCCTATTAGCTCAGTTGGTTAGAGCATCAAACTATCAAATTTGCCATTTGAGAGACCTGGCGAATGACCGCGTTCGAATCCTGGCGGGGCCAGAACTTTTTTTTTTTTATTTTTTTTTTGTTTTTAATTTTTTTTTTTGTTTAAAAAATATGAAAATTGAATAAATACGATTGTTGTTGATTATTTTTTTAAATATATTTTAATTATTATAATAACCTGGTTTTACATTTTTTGATATAAATATTTTGTGGTCGTAGGAAAAATATTTTACATCACTTGTGTGAAAAGTGATTTTCCACACTCGTGTGATAGTCGCACTCGGCTTGTGCTTCGTGCGACAATATTTCCCACTCGTGTGAAAAATGTCACTTTCCACACTCGTAATGTAATATACTATTTTAAGTTTTATTTTAATAGTATATTAAAAAAAAGTTATTGTCGTGAAAAATGTTTTAAAATTATTTTTATATCTTTTTATTTATTTTTGACCTACTCTACTGAAGAACTATTTAAAGAAACTTAGATATAAGATATCCGTCAGCTGTTCTGTGAAAGTCTATTACTCAGATAATTCCAAAATGAAGCTGAATCAAAACAAATTGAACAAAAGTAACTGGTTAAAAATAAATTAAACTTAACTAACTGAGGTAAAAAACATGATTCCTTTACTTTCCTTATCTGTATACAGATAGGAAAGTAAAAATTCAAATATTATTATTATCATATAACAAATAGACCCTTCAAAAAATAAGAACAATATTTCACGACAATAACTTTTTTTTAAAAATAATAAAATTAAACCTAAAAAATTTATATTAGGTATCATTATATTGATTTAATATTTTAATCACTTTATCCTATATACAAAAACTTGATTAATATACTACTTGACTATGCATGTATTTAAAAATTTATAAACAGGAATCTACTAATCTAAAATGCCGTAAATACTGAGGGGCTGCAATTCTGGGCGCAAATGAGCCGATTATTTTTGTTGACCTTCTCCTGGAGCGCAAGTGAGCCGAAAAAGGTTTTAAGCGCAAATGTGCTTGGAGCAACCGGGCCTATACCATTTTCCTAATAGTAGACTTTGTCACTTTAATATCTGAAGCAATTTTGTGTAAGGAATCTTCTTCGTTGTGCCTTTTCACAATAAGTTCACAAACTTGGATGGGTAAAGCAATGAAATTGTCCACGCATTTTTATTACGAGTACCAAAGTAAACTAAAGCGAATTAACAATAATGACAGCGCGCTGTTTGACAATATTGTTTTATTTTGTTTATAAGCATAACCATCTAAGTTTTTATTTATTTATTATGTTGTCAGAACATCAAACTGCCAGCAAACAAATTGTTCTCATATGGGTTTACAACTATAAATTACAAACTGCAATAAGATTAATTATAATTCTTGCATATTAATGCTAGGTGTCCGAACATAAAATAGTTTGGGCTTGTATTAAGTTACATATTATTCTCAATTATTTGTGTTTTGTTTCAGTTGCGAGTTCTCAAACTGGCCCAGTCATGGATAACGATGAAAGTGCTTCTCAGTATAATAATAAGTACCATCGGAGCTTTAGGAAACTTGACCCTTGTATTGGCAATAGTAATTTACATCTTCGCCGTTATTGGAATGCAACTATTCTCTAAAGATTATACGGAAGAGAAGTTTTTTCCTGACCCTGTCCCAAGGTATGTCTATTAATAATATAGTCAATCAGATGAGTTGTTGATTATTATTTGATTTCCTAGGTGGAATTTTACGGATTTTTTTCATTCCTTCATGATGATTTTTCGGATATTGTGCGGAGAATGGATCGAACCTCTTTGGGATTGCATGCGAGCAGAGAAAGCAGAGGTAAATAAATTATACATTACTTTTAACAGTATCTAATTATTTGAGCTATACAGTATACAGTAACTGTCCAGTGATATACTTGAAATTTTCTACAATAACTTGTTTAATTTCTCCAAAATTTACCCTCAAACTCCTAAATAGTCACAGTACGCTTAGCATTTACAAGAAAGCTATGTTTTTCTGGGATATTGTCCCTTTATTCCTGAATTTGTACCCGGCGATTTTTATTTATTTCCCAAAATCAAACCCTGTTCTTTTTATATCGAACTCTGTTGGGTATTATTGGGTTTTAAAAAGGTAATTTCATGTCATCTTATACCTACTTAAATAATGCCATTCAAATATGTTTGTACTTTAAAAGATTTACATATCTATTTAGAAGCTTTTGTCGAGTTACCTATTTTTCAAGAAAATAAAATGTGTCCCATATAATTTTTAAAAATATGTTAACTCTTAGGAAAATAAATCCTAAAATCCTCGGTTTTAATAATTTTATAAAGTCTATAGATTTATTATGTTTCTTTGATTTTTTGTTTCCATTTTATTTTAATTTTAATGAAAAATACTAAAACTAAACCGGATGCCTCGCATTCCCAATAAAAAGTTTGTAGTAGCAGAATTTTATTAAATGCAGTAAATCAACATACAACGGCACGAGCATATGTTGCTGCGTTTTTTACTTACAAAAACCAATAGAGTTATCGGTTCAAATATAGGAAAATCTGAAATTGTACATTTGTTATTCGAAAAATCTTAAATTGCTCTCTGTTCCTTTTTTGTACAAAAATAAATAATATTAAATAGGAGTGTATATTTAAATAATTTAAAACCGAAATTTTATCTTGTATTTGTTATCATTTTAAAACGAAAATTTCTGTTTTTCAGGGGTCTGGTACGTGCTTGGCAGTTTTCCTACCCACTTTAGTCATGGGCAACTTCATGGTACTGAACTTGTTCTTGGCCTTGCTGCTCAACAGCTTTAATTCGGAAGAATTAAAAACCAGAAAAGAGGTATTTGTCCTTTTAGTTCAAGTATGTTAGTTTTTGTATATGCATGTCTATTTTTTATGTGTTTAAGTGATTTACTAACTATTATTCTAACATAACTAAAGTTAACGCATTCTTGTGACAGTGACTTCAATAATGGATTTTTCTTCTCGATTGGTATGTACAAACAAGATTTTTAGGAAAACAACTTGTACGAAGAACAAAATAAGCGCATAGATTTAAGATTGGGTTGGTCTAATTTTTTGTATTCAAATTTTACAATTTTTTTATTTTATAATATAAATCCGTAAGTTTATGTAATGAAATAAAATATGTTTAATCTGAACACGGCAACGTATCTTAGATAGACTAGTGGCGGCCATTGCAAATCTTTTATAGTCTTCTTTCCCTTCTTTAGAGAATTATCTTTAGCCTAATTTTCATTAGAACTATTATCTTCACGTTTAAAACTGAACCCTTCACGTATGTGTCTTAATGTTGCATTTTGTATATCTATTAGCAGATATCGTTTTTAGTCAGATATATCAGTGGTACTTATTTATTTATTGGGCTAAAAATATTTGGATATATATTGTTAATTCAAGCAACTCTCCTTTATTGAAATATATTACCTATTTTTGACTGTAATGTTTTTTTACATCTTTAAATATTTTATTTATTAATAGATTCCGAGTTCGACATTAACTTTGAATTAACGTGTATTGTATTTAATTTGTTTCTTTTGTTTTAACTATTCATAGAAATTCATAGAAATTCATAGAAATTCATAGAAATTCATAGAAATTCATAGAAATTCATAGAAATTCATAGAAATTCATAGAAATTCATAGAAATTCATAGAAATTCATAGAAATTCATAGAAATTCATAGAAATTCATAGAAATTCATAGAAATTCATAGAAATTCATAGAAATTCATAGAAATTCATAGAAATTCATAGAAATTCATAGAAATTCATAGAAATTCATAGAAATTCATAGAAATTCATAGAAATTCATAGAAATTCATAGAAATTCATAGAAATTCATAGAAATTCATAGAAATTCATAGAAATTCATAGAAATTCATAGAAATTCATAGAAATTCATAGAAATTCATAGAAATTCATAGAAATTCATAGAAATTCATAGAAATTCATAGAAATTCATAGAAATTCATAGAAATTCATAGAAATTCATAGAAATTCATAGAAATTCATAGAAATTCATAGAAATTCATAGAAATTCATAGAAATTCATAGAAATTCATAGAAATTCATAGAAATTCATAGAAATTCATAGAAATTCATAGAAATTCATAGAAATTCATAGAAATTCATAGAAATTCATAGAAATTCATAGAAATTTGTTTGGTGAGTTTGAATCCCCGACAGCATGTCGACTGTACAGTTGTCAACAATCATTTTAAGATTGTTGTTGGAACAAACCATATTATATTGAATATATAGAAAAATCAAAACCTTAATTATATGGTTTTACCGTACGTATTTTATTTATTGATTGAAAATTTAATACAATACTACATATTCTAATATTTTATAGGTTTCGAAGCTAATTATTAAAACTAGTAAATTCGTGTTTCCTATTTTTACCAAATGAGCGTGTGTATTTTGAAATTTAAGCAGTCTTTTTAAGTATAGTATTTTTAGCGTTATTTATTCTTAGATATTTAATTTTATTAGCAATAAATTATAGTGTGATTCAAATGTCTAGAATACTTTTTGCTTTAATATTCGTTTGTAAAAAAAATTAATAGTATTTTAGTCCTCCTATTTTTTTATATTCATTGATCATATATTTTAAAATATATTAGACCTTGTGTGTCCACCTCGCTATCGTTTACCTTTAAACGCATTACTGTCGACTTCCTGAAAACTGATATGGGTTTCGCATTCAGCACGGCTGGCTTATTCTTTCCTGACATTGACAAATAATTCCGGACCCAGTCTGGAAGATTGTCATTAATACTGGCTAAATTAATCCTTTCAGAGTAAGTGTGTCGATATAGATCAAATTCTAACGTACTTAATCATGTTGAATATGACTTAAAGCTAATTATGTACCCTTATATAGTTAAGTGGTTATACGAGTACGATTATGTTAGAAATTATTATTGGGATGTTTTTTTTTTTTTGATTTTGTATTTATTTTTAGAGCTCGATTTTTCAAAATGCCCAAAGGTAAAATGTAATACAAATTACTTTGGACGCTTTTATATGTGTTGTTATATTACCACCTTTTATCTAAAAATTATCCAATAAAAACAAGAAAAATTAAGAGGCAACTTTATTTTATAAATATATACAGGATGTCCCATTAGTGCGTAATTGTTCAATATTTTAATTTGTGTTATAGACACGCAAATAAGTTTTAGATAAAAGTGTTATGGATTATAAAAATACTTTTTAAAAATATTTTTGGATATACAGATTGTGCCGTTTTTGTCTGGCAAATAAAAATGTATGTTTTTTGTGTAGAACACCATGTATTTTATTTTACTATTTGAAAAGTTTTCGAAACCAGTGGTGTTTCTTGGTTTCTATACTAGTTATATTGCAAAGTGAATTTCTGTATTTTCCCAACAAAAAAAAAATTAGATTCCCCAATATGAACAATGTAGTTTTTCAGCCTACATATTTTGAAAATGGCTTGGCTAAAATCGGAGGAAACAACCCTTTCGAGACAAGTTTCTGTTTTAAGGGTTAGGGGTTAGATTTTAGTGGTTCAATGCCAGTGGCGATCAAATAAAACCTCTGCATGAATTTTTATTTAAATGAAGTGGTGGGAAAATGGTACATATATATACCACCAGTCTTTGAGGGTGGTACATAAGTGTACCAGACGTCTTACAAAACATTACTTTTATAAATTTTACCTAAAAATTGTTAAGTGTGGTATGAAGCAAAACAATTCTTGCATAATCCTACACTGACTAAATACTGTCTTGGTTCTCTTCTGAATCTTAGTTTTAGCACAGCGAGCACATCTCCTACGAGTTTTACCTTAATAGGCAGGTGCATCGGAACGTTTTTTAGAGTTTTTGGAAGGACAACCACTTGTTGATGGATCTTTTACTTAGGTAGTCTTTTTCTGGCCTTCATTCAGAATTGCTTCTGCTAATGGTACGAGAAAGTCCAGAAACGAAATTTTTTTTCTGGGAATTCTTTGTAAGTTATCTAGGCATTTACAACTAACATTATCAAAAGCCTGAAAAAAACTTTGATCCACCATTTTCTTATCTATCAAAGTCATACAATCCCACCTGGTAGACTCCTCCCATGTTATATCGATAAGAGGCTATAATTTCTAGACATTCTATAGGAGATCTTGTACCATCTTTGTTTTTCTTATTTAGCGATACAATTTTATTCGTATGCAAAATTACACCCTCGTTGGTGCATTTGAAAACTGATTCGCTCTTTTTTAGTGTTATAGGTAATTTCGGAATTTTTTTTTCTAGTAGCTATATTGGTACCTACTGCTTCATAGTTTGTTGAATGAAGTAAAGAGGTAAAGAAGCGGTCAAAGCAAAGTCTAACATCAGTCTCTTGGCCAGTATTTGCAAGCGTATTGACTACCCTTTCTCCTAAAGTACCATCTTGGTTGCCCTCTTCTTTCCCTGCATAAATGTTAAAGTCGTAAGTGTATCCCGTCACAATGGAGCCACGTTTTTATTCCTTGCTTTGTTGGTTTGAGGGGCATGTATTGTTTGACCGCCCCTTGAATTTAGTCATCGATTCATCAATGCTTTGGAAGTTGCTGTCCTGTCGTGATTTTTCAAGCATTGAACGATGTCATCAATATAATAAGTTTTAGAGCAGTCGGTGGGCTTTTCTGGAGGTGCAAAATATAATTTTGACGAAATAAGTTTGAACCTATCCCTTAAAATAGCGTTTTTTATAGTTATATTTGCCATTGATGACCAATAATGTGTAAGTGATGGTAATCGATTATAATAATAATAATAATAAACGACTTTATTGAAAGATAATGTTAGTATGATACAATGGGCGAGATTTAGCTAAAGCTACTTTTACACCTAACCCTAAAAGCTGCTCGATTATAATGGCAGTTTTTTGTTTTGTTAAAGAAAAAAAAATATATATATAAAATAATGATAAATATAAAATACAAATGTAAAACACAAAGATCGAATTCATGTTCAAGATAAATTACAATTAGGAATAAAATAGGGCGTAACATTAAAGAATATAATATACAATACAAATTTTTATATAAAAAAAATATAATGGTTAAAATAGTTAAGATACTAAGAGTGATTGATTTAATTTTTTTTTGAAAGAACTTACAGATTGAATACACTTAATATTACTGTCTAAGTTATTGTACAGTTTTATGCCATTGTATATAAAAGATCTGGTATATGTAGATAAGTGGAATTGAGGCATATTAAGCATATACTTGTCTCTAATGAAACGATTATGAAGGGATTCGGGGAATTAATTTGTCTTTTAAATAGGTTGGTTTAGAGGTTATCATAATTTTTTGAATGCATGTTAAAGTGCTGTATTCACACAATTGTTGAATATTAAGCCAATTTAGGGTATTAAATGGTAATGATATATGGTCATATTTTCTTAAATTGTAAATGAGTCTGCAACATGTGTTTTGAATAACTTGTAACCTGCGTTTATTTTCACTTATTAAACACGGGTAATAATACAATATTTTAGACACAACTAAACTTTCAGTGAGACAGATTTTCATGTTTTTTGTCAGTATGTGTTTGCTAGCAAAAAGTAAGCGCAGTCTTAGATAGCATTGTTGCAATACATGTTGGATATGGGGTTGAAATCTACAGTCTTCATCAAAGTAGACACCTAAATTTTTGGCAGATTCTACAAAAGGTATTAAGTCATTTTTAATTTTTATAGAAATGTTAAGTTTAAGATTAATTCTGTTGAGTTTGTTGCCAAGAACTAAAATTTGAGATTTTGATGGATTTAATCGCAAATCGTGTGCATCACAGTATTTGGAAATTGA